AAAAAAAAAAAAAAAAAAAAAAAAAAAAAGTCTTCTCTTTCCCACCCTCTAAATTCTGTATTTATAATGCAGAATATGTATGTATAATATCAGCAGTGTTATTTTTGGTAATGGGAGGGTGGTGATCAGTTAAAATTGGAAAGTACCCAATTGTATCATTTGTTTCCCCATTAGTGGCTTTCTGTCTGTTTCCTCTGTCTGATGTAGTAAGGTACCCATACTGGCTTAGACAGAGGCAGTGGTAACTGAAGAGGCCTTGGTAGAGGAAGAAATAGTAGTAGTGTTGACAACTCAAATATTGCCTGGGCCTTCCAAAACAAGTGGCTTTTTTTTTCTTCAGTATTCTGAGCTTTTCCCCTTTAAGTGACTTATTAAATGAAAACAAAAAGGACAATATTAACAGTTGAGGGATTATTTTTGATTTACTTATTAATATAGTTGAAGTTATTGATAAGCAATCACTGGATTAAAACTATCTTGTCTTTAGCTATTTTATTCTCATAAACTTTAGTGAATAAAATAGTGCTACCCATAATTGTATCTATTAATACTTCCAATGAGGGATCAATTGTTCTTATGTTTAGTTAGTCAAAATGACAGATTTGTTAAACACAATAATAGGAGAAAACAAGCGGGGCCCGGTGGCATATACTCTTGCAATCCCAGCCCTCTAGGAGGCTGAGGCAGGAGAACTACAAGTTCAAGCCCAGCCTGGGAAATTTAGTGACTTAGGGAGGCCCTGTCTAAAAATACAAAAAGTGCTGGAGATGTAACTCAGTGCGAAGGCCCCAGGTTTAATTCTCAATACCAGCCCCCTCAAAAAGGAGAAAAGAATTTAACATTCTTCTGCTATAGATGGTAATCATTTGCTGCATGTTGTGTTCAAATTTGTAACTTTAGTGTCACATTATCTTCATCTCCCAGTAGACTTATTTATATGACCATTTATAAAATAGTGACCTGTTAAAATAATATTGTCATATACTTATTATTTTAATAATAATTTTTTCATATAGTGAATCAATTTGAAAAATGATGTTGCTCAAGTCCTATTTTTAATGAAACTTTTCAGTTTAAATTCAGTGACCGAAATCTTTAAAGCAAGTTTTTCTTGTTAATGGCCACATACAAAATGATAATCTTTGGAGATACATGCAACATAAGGACTGATCTTTCTCTTTTAGTGTTTGGAAAGTCAGCAGAAATTGGCGTGAAATTGTTGTGCAAGATAAAAAAGCAAATCGGAGAAGGAAATATTATATTACACAACTGAAAGCAAATTCTGAGGTAAGGTATATAATGCTTTTCTAAAGTGGATTTTTATAAATATCTAATAATTCCATATTGCTGAATAACCTATTTAGGATTCTTTGTTATTTTTTAACTTTTTCCAGTGAGCAAACTCTATTTTCCAAACTCCATTTCCATCTATAAATATAAAATGGCATAGACTACTGAACACCATGACCATCTTGTTGGGTTTTTTTGCTGTTCACACAGATTTTCTGTGGACAACAGTTGAATACCAATGATGTGCTGGATCCTAGTAATAATTATATATCCTTACAACATTTTCATCCATTGTTTTGAGTGCCTGTTCCCTGCCAGCAACTGTTTCAATTGACTGGATGACAATGATGACATTTCAGACATGATCCCTTCCTACTTTCAAATTTTTCCTCATCAAGACAACTCCTTTCTTTAACATTTCTTGTAGTCTTTATTTCCATACTGTATTTCCAAATAAAATTCATAGACTGATGTTTTTTATATTTTTTTCCAGAAGGGAATTAGTTCTCTAATAACCTCTCACTCCATGACTTCCCTACACCCCACCCCACCCCACCCTGAATTATTTTCCCCATTCCTGTCTTAAGATTGTAATTACAGCACAATTTAGGAGTGAATTAGATCATGACATCGAGACTGTATTGAGAGTATCATGACTTGTACACTGTGACTACACTTTCTTTCCTGTGTAACTTTTGTTAATTGCTCCCCACTTCTCATTTGCTTAGCGTTTCTCTGTACAGATACCTGATTCATCTCCTATTGCCCACCAGAACTGAAAGTCTGCTCCGTGTAAACCCAAACAAATCAGGTATTCTACCTGTTCCTTCTTTCTTCCTAAGGTCCTGTGCCTTCCTATTCTGATATGGTCACTTTCTACCTGCGCAGTCGTAATGTATGTATCATTAACCAAAACAGAAAAATTATAAGACAAAGTTGTTTGGTGATTTTCTTCATTATTTGTATAGTGACATTAAAAGCTCCCCTGTATGGAAATTAGAAAGCACAGGTTAGGTATGCATAATAGGATCTCAGTTTTAACTGTTTGCTTTGGAACAATGAAAGTGAGCATCAGCATCAGAGTACCACATTTTTACACTGAATTTCTTCCTTCACTGTCCTCTTATATTAATGGAAATGAACAGCTGTTAAATAACTGCATTCTCACATTTGAAATCTTCTGGTAATGTAATAATAACTATGTTTGCAGATTTTTGGTGCTCATGAATGTGTGCTTTTGTTGACTGTTTTGCCTATTAAAAAAGAGCATACCTTTTAAGCTTCAAGATCACACTGTTTTAGTCACTTGGCACTGATTCCATAAATATTTACTAAATGAATGGCTGTGTCTTCTGTGGCTGAAATTTGCTCCAATAACAGATTTTTATTCATTTTTTTTCCTGCATGCATACTATGTTTAATAGCTGCTCAGAAGTCCAGTGAGTTTGTTTGTTTGTTTTTTTTAGTGTGGCTACAAATCACTTATATAAATATAATATGAAAGACATATGGAATCCTTGAATAACTTAAACATATTCAACTGTTTTCATTTTAATTTCTGAAGGAATATTTTTGTACTCTTATGCATTTATTTTAAACTATTAATCATGTAACTTTTTATGATCTACTAACTTCATTTCTTATACTTATCCTACTATTATTTCTTGTCTTTTAGCTCTCCCCATAGTGAAGAGCCTAACTATGGAAAAGGAGACTATTGAGGGAGAGGGAACACAGTTATAGTTTGTCACATAAGATGGTACATTTTATTTTGATAATGAAGAATGTCAGTTTTTTTCTATAACAGAAGAACTACTGTATTTTTCCATTACCAATCTCAACAAAATGGAAGGCTACAAGGATTACTTGTTGAACAATATTTTTGTTTTTATTTTTTCATTTTTCCAGCATTATTAATGTACAATTGATAATAGAAATAGTATATTTTTAAGGTATATAGCTAAGTAATTTATTTCTTGACTATTTGAATAATGTGAGAATCCAGTGCAAATGAGATTTTTTTTGCTCCTTTGAAAAATCTGTTTAAAACTTTACTGCAAAAATGAATAAGCACCAGATATTTGCAAAAGCTCAGTTAAAGAAATTGGGTTTTAAGGTATAATCAGTCCCTCAGTGGCTAACTTAAAAAAAAAATTAGCATTCCATGACATCCAATGGTAAATTTTCAGAAGATTTTCCCCTTCTTAGATGTTGGTTTAAAACAGTTTGCAAACTACATACAGTCTGTGGGCCTGTCAGCTGTATGATAAGGTAAGTTTTATTGGAACACAGCCTCTTTCATTTTCCCATTGTCCATAGCTACTTTCCTCTATAACTGCAGGCTTGAAAAGTTACCAGTATATGACCTGCAAAGTCTAAAATATTATTATCTGGCCGTTTTCAGAAAACATCTGCCAAACCACAGCTTTAAATAAATAGAAAAATAACTGATCATACAAGCTAAAATTTATTGTTTAATTTTAAAAAAATACTTCAGTGACTTTCAAATGTTAGGTGAGAAAAGACTTTTTCTTTCCTAAAGAAATGGTCCTGGGAGAAAATTCTGATGGTATAAACCACACTGAAGCATTTAAATGCATGTGCACCAGAAGCCTGTCCTATCTCAGAAGTGATTTGTTATTGTGCACTGATGACTGTCGACTTTCACCACAGGGGGCTGTATTAAATGTTGAGGATGCTGCCACTCGGCTCCATCTTTTAAATCGCTCAGCTTTAAGATCAGTGCAAGCACAGGCTCGGACACCCATTTCTCAGAAAGAGCAAGTCCCAACTGTATCTCCTTGGGGAGAAGTTTTGACACCTGTGGCAAGCTCTTCACTTACCCACTTAAGCTGTAAACAGGAAGAATATTTTAAGGTAAGTATCCTAAGTTATTAAGGATAAATATTTACAGAACTTGAAGTAAAGTGTTTCTGTATATGACAACGGGAGACTGACGGCATGTGCCTCTACTGCAGGTGGCCAGGACACTTTTTATTGATGAAGCATTAAAACCTTGCCCAAGGTGCCAATCCCCTGCCAAGTACCAGCCATATAAAAAAAGGGGACTGTGTAGCCGCACAGCTTGTGGTTTTGACTTTTGTGTGTTATGTCTGTGTGCTTATCATGGGTCTGAAGAATGCAGTAAAGGAACAGCAAAGCCAAGGAATAGAAAAGATGCCCTCCCAGGAAGCGCCCAGAGTAAACAGAATTTAAAACGCCTGTAAAGAGACTTCAAAGAAATGTTCCTCTATGCAGTGCTTTATTTTTCTGACTTAAAATTATGACTATTTTGAACACATGCAAATTTTCCCATTAATGAAAGATAATGATTTATTTCCTATTTTGTATATATTTAATCCATGTTGTTTTATGTTTTCTTTAAAGTGATGAGTTTTGAAAAAATTGTATTTTACTGTCATTTTTATGCATTTTAATAACTTGGTGTTTTTAATAAAGAATTTTGACTGTTATATATGTATTTTACTGTTTCATGTAACTTTTAAATTGTTGTATATTATCACTATGCATTGAAATATTCTTTAATCATTTTTGAAAAAACAATTTTCCAAATAACATTAAACATTTTGGAATTAAAACAAATGAACTTATAAGTTTGGAAAGTGAGTACTTGATTGAAATGAAATCTAGAAATGTTTTCAGAAGTTCTATTGAATTGATAATTACCATCTTTCTCTGGTATATTTTGGTAGACTTCTGCTTGAGTAAAATTTACCTAATACAGTGGTACGTTGGTTTGCAAACTTAATTCTTTCCATGATTCTGGTAGCAGAATTCATTCTGCAATTCTGGCACAACCAAATTGCATGCTGTGCTGTATTAATAACTAGAAAGACATAAAAAAGTAAATTATGGAGAATATGTGGTTATCCATAATGGGAGTCTTAGTTAATAAGCCCTTATTATCCAAAAATTCCAAAACATAGTTTTAAAAATTATAAAAATATAGTCACAGATTTTACTTATTATTTAGACAAATTTAGAGTGGTTGGAAAAGAAGCAGCTATATAATTTTTGAATAAAATAAGCTATGAAGTTATACTATAATTTATGTAGATTTATAGTATACCACTATCTTAGTTACTTTCTCATTTGGTGGGACAAAATACCTGGCACCTACAAATTAAAAGATGAAAGGTTTATTTTAGCTCACAGCTTGTAGATGTTTTAGTCCACAGTCAGCTGGCTCCAAGGGATGGTGGCTTGGCAGAGGAGAAACAATCCATGGCAAGGCAGGCAGAAAAGCAGCAAGCAGTGACCCTCTTGACCTTTTTTATTCCATTCAGGCTACAAGCCTGTTGGTGCCACTCACACCCAGGGTGGTCTTCTGTCTTCAACAATTCCATTCAGCCACACCATAACTGCTAATCCAATCAGCAAACTGAGCCTGTTATTACCCACAATCCATGTTCACACACCCTAGATCCAACCACCTCCCAAAAGCCCCACCTCTGAGTGCTCATGTGAGGCTTTGGGGGGCCATCTTGATACAAATCATATCAACCTCTTTCCAAAAATGACTTGAGGTTGATTGCATGTTCCATTTATAGAACAGCAGCAAAAAGGGGAGAAAGCTTAGTGTTGAACTACTTAGTAAGGCCTGAAAGAAAATTGAAAATAATTTTATAATTTTTTTCTTTGTGTTTTAGGTAATTGCTGTGTGTACATACATACTTGTGTTTACACTATACATACAGATTTAAGTGTGGCTCTTGAACATTATTTCAATAAAAATCTAAAGTGTTAATTAGATATAGATATATTTGGAAAAGTCTGCCATTTTATCTTTTTGCTTGCTATAAAATTTTGGTTAATTGCCAAATTATTAAAATTTATCTATATTCTAATTCCACAAAGGATTTTGGTGACAAAATATGAAAGTGAGTAAACTGAGTAAAGTGTTAGTTGTATTTCATAAAAGATAATCTCTAAATTTTACATCCTGATTTTATTCTAACCAAATTCAGTTGAGTCTATTTAATTTTTTGATAACATCTTCCACATCAGGATCAATTTACTACTTTATGTTGTTTCATTCAGGCTTGACTTTTCTTAGAGAAGTTTTTTTGTATATAGGAAATGTATTCTAGTCTTGATTCTCTTGATATATGAAGTCACCCCATGATTTATTTAATCCAGACTACTTGTCTTTGCCATCTTTTTGTGACGCTGATGAAATCACATCTTTCGCTGGGTGTGGTGGCATATTCTTATAATCCCAGTATATGGTAAGCTAAGGCAGGAGGATAATGAGTTTGAGGTCAGCTCAGAATTTAGTGAGATCCTGTCTCAAAATGTGCTTACCTGGCATGTGCAAGACCCTGGATTCAATCCCCAGCACACAAAGTAATCTTCATCTGTCACATGAACATTTTTGCTGTTTTATACTCTTTGATTTCTACCTGATCTAAATGTCAATCCTGAAGTGACTCTTTTAAGATCTTAAAATCACAGATCCAGTTTCTTGATACTTTTGAAAAATATTAAATGTAATATCATTTATTTAAATGTTCATATTTCCCAGTACCTTAAAATTTTAATTATTTTATTACAGAATAGTGGGAACAAGATAAACATTTCCTTGACATCTGGTTTTCAATAGTGCAGTATAACCTGGAATCCTATTTCTAATCTGTCATGAGACAATTTGGTGTTGTCATTGGGCATGGTCACACTTGTCATCTGGTCATTCTTCAGCCCATTAAAATGAAGCATTTTATCTCACCTTGGTAGTGAAAATAACTTTTACTGTGTTTAGAGATAAATAATAAACATCATGTTCCTTTGTACTGCATCTACTCGTAACAATGGAAGCTGAAGTTTTTTATATTTCTGGTTTTACTTTGGATTTAAGTTTATGATCAAGTAGACATGAAAAAAATAGTGGAAGGGCACAGTATGTGTGGGTGTGTGTGCACACACGTGTGCGCATGTATATGCAAAATATTGGGGATGAGCCCAGGTGTTTCCATTAGGCTACATCCCTGGACATTTTTCAAAAATTTTTTGACAAGGTCTCACCAAGACACTAAGTCGTCCAGGCTGGGTTTGAACTTTCAATCCTCCTGCCTCAGCTTCCTAGAGTGCCAGGAATTAGACATGTGCTACCATGCCCAGCTAGTGCACGTTTCAATTATTTTATAGTAAAATTTCCTAGAGAAAAAAAATCAGAGCAGGAATTCAAAAGGTAAGTTTCTTTTTAGCACAATGACTTTAAAGGAAGGTAATTGCTTTACCTTCTACTGCTTTAGGAAGAGAATCTCAAACCTTTTCCCCCTCTGTTCTGACTCCTTGGCAGCCTTTCTAGCTAATGAGCAGGATTATTCTATTTGCCTTTTTAGTTCAAAAGGACAGGTATTTCCTAGTTCTCATCTCCTACTTTGGAAAAACTGGCTAGAAACTTGTAAAGTAATAGAAAACAAACATTCTAAGAACCGTCTTATTTTCTAGTAGCTTTCCTGTGGGCACAAATACCGACATTCACTCTAGCCTTTAAAGAGTTAAGTCTCACTATGGATTTCTTAAGAATGAGGGTTAAAGTTCTGTTGAGAAAATATTTTTGATACTTGGCATCGTGAAAGCTAAGTTTTTCCATTACTTTTGACACAGCATAATTGTCATAAATTTATGACACAAAGAATTAATTGGATATTTCAAGTTTAATCTATCATGTTTCTGGTTTATATCATTATTTATTATGATTTTATTTTACATCACTTCTGGTTTAAAAAGTGTGATGTATATAGAAAAAGCATTATATGATTTAAAAGATGGAAATATCCATTATTTTTCTATGAAAGGTAATTATTTCAAAGATTACACTAAAGCATTCCACCAGGGGGCACCAAAGACTCATTTATAATGCTTTTGGCTTTTCTTCACAAAAGTAAATGCAGCTTTTATGTATTTGATGATGATATGCTATGACATTGCCAAATAGGGGAAGTGCTTCTTGAGTTAATTTTTAAAGTGTATATAGAATAAATCTGAGGAATAGTTATTACTCAGGGTTGGTAATTAAAATATTTTAGCTGGCTCCTAAGAGTGAACTGCTTTTCCAGATGCCTTCTAATAGAACACCTTGTTGGCCGGCCCTGGTTTGTGTCTTGGCCATCTGTGTTTCCTTGCCCAACGGCTCTGCACTCTTGGCTCTGTCTTTGTGGACTGTGGAGCCAGGGAAGTGGAAGGAGCAGTGGAAACGTGGCAGATGAGTGCTGGTTACGAAAGTGGTATCGTGCTACCAGTGATTTCCCTCTCTGGCATCCTCCTTCCTGCAGAAAGGTAATCCTTGGTTCAGGTCTTAGAAACATTATGCCTGCATTGCTGCAAATGCCTCCTAACAGATCTTCCTGCTTCTCCTTGCTCCCCACTTGAACTCCTAAATGCTCATTCCCAGGCTATTTGTACTAAAATGTGTCTCCAATCACATTGCTTGCTGTTAAAAATGTTGCAGAATTTAGCATCTTCAAATGGTCCTAACTTTCTCACAATCTCTCCCACCAGTTCATTTTGTACACTTTGTTCCAGCCAAACTAGACTCCTTGCTATTTTCCCCAGTGATTTCTCCCACTTCCTCTCTTGCCATATTAAATTCTGTTACAATCCAGCTAATCCTTAGTTTGTTTCCATGAATCATTTTCTGATCTTTTCAACAAGATGAACATTTTGCCTTCTTTGAATCTAGTGTTTGTTTATCCCCTTTTTTCCCCTATTTCTGGCCTGTCTTGTTTGTATTAAATTCTTGTCTTCCACCATTAGCAAGTTCCTTAGGGTCCAAAAACTTTACCTCTCTATCTCCTTTAACATAGTGTCTTGGGCATGATAGTTGAGTTGCTGAAGTAATGATTAATGTGATATGAGAAACTTTACTCAAATCTCAGTTTTCTTCATGTTTCCAGCTGGTAGCACAGGAAACTTCAATTCTAGTTTTGTTTTTGAGAGAGCTAAAATGGAGACATCATTGCCTTTGCTCAGCGCTCTTGTCACTTGGAATTCCCACTGTATTCCGTTTTCCCGTCCCTCCTGCCTCTCCAATGCTACTCTCCCTCTTGGTTTGTCACTCCCTGCCTTCCTACTAGCCTTTGAATTCTTTGTTCAGGAGTCATGAAGTCTGCTTACCTCGCTTCCATCCCAGGCTGGTTGCTCTCTCCCCCTTGGTGCAGCTGGGCCCTTTGTACTATGTTGTTATCATGTGTATCAGAGCTTTTATGTTTTCCTCATTAGACAGTGAATTCATCTGATCTGAGTTTGTGTCCACATTACCTACTTGCAACCAAAGCTCTATGT